ACTTTTTAAAAGGATGGATATATCAAATCAAACCTTAGACTCTCGTCAACGTAATATAATTTAGTGTAACAAAAAGATCACTTTGCACCGGCAATTTTTATAGCAGAATCAAGATTTTATTAATGAAGTATGGATGTTACATCACACTGGTAATTGCTGCTGCCCTACGAAGTGGTAGAAGTTACGGTCCTGTGACATTAAGAGCTCGTTTCTCGTTTATTGATACAGATGGAAGTATCGTTGCAATTGACTCTCATACCTTTCTTGATTGTTCCGTTAAAGGATATATCGTACGTCCTTGTATTGGAAATGCAAATTGGGGCGGAATTAATGGTTGGACGTGTGGTGCAGAGAGTCAAACGATGACAGTTACATTCACATAACTTTTTCATGTGCTCGCTCTTTCATGTCCTTTCTACAATTTTTGAAAGATAGTCTAGTTATACGATTAGTACTAAATTAAAAGTGAACTTATATACGTATTGTATTTAAAAAGCAATTTTTACGACATATTTCTCCCTATTAGTTAGAATTGCTGATGCTTTTTTGTTAATCTATCAAGATACAAAATAAATTTCTTTCAATGTTACATTGTAATATTTCAAAGTTTAGGTATAGAAAGAAAAAGTCCCGTCGATTGCTTCCAAAACCAATAGTGTTTATTATTGTTATTGTTATTGTTTACGAAAATGAGATGGTGGTACGCAAATGCAGTAAAAATTTTTCGTCACGAAAACTCAATTTTGTTGCTTATGCTTCTTACGTCCTTCGCCCCATCACTAGGTGGGGCACAGTGGGCAGTTTATGCAAGAGCAGGCAGCAATTTGGACTAGTTTACATTTTTTAACGCTGAAAACACTTTCCCATAGGTAATTCGTGACGCTGAGTCTAATGGCGCTATTAGAAATCTGCTAGCTAGTTTTGATTTTCCAAGATTTTCGGAAAATATTAAATTTCGCTTATTTTCCATGAAATGAAGAACTAAATCACATATTTTGAGAATTTTCACCACGTTAAGACTGGCGAAGATGTCGAACCTGCTTCTCATGCACTTAGGATTTTCCAAAAGTTTTCCGAAAAACGTAGTTTTCTTAGATTTTTAAAACACGGATTAGAAACTTAGTTTTTTTTAACTAAAGAGAATACAATCAAATGAAACGAGAGAAAGTATCATCAAAAGGAAGTGAAATTTTATTTCTTGTAAAGCAAAATATCCAAATCTAAATCGTCTTTATTCGAAAACATTGAAATTGCTGTATCATTACTTCTTTTCCTCTTTTCTTGTGCTACATCCACTATTGTACGAACAACCGGATCAGATCTAATAAACAGACGAGAAAACGCATCAGTCAAATTGGGAATGTGTTCGATCTTACGTGCCAAATGTTCTCTATAATTACGAACATATTTATTAGTGGCTTCAAGTGCTTCCTCTGATGAAGCACCGAGCGCTACATTGCAATTTTTTGCAACCAGTTCACAGCAATGAAAGAGCAAAGGAAACATTATTAGTCAAGTTCTATAAATTGTGAGTGATTCAGTATAGAAAAATATGCGAAGAATGGAAAAAATATCCAGGTTCGTGTGATTCTTATAGGAAGTATGTAAAAACACGCCCAAATTCTTGGCTCAAAAAGCCAAAAAATTGTTTTCGGAATTTAATATGCAATATTCTAATTCATTAGATACAGTTTTTCCCACTGATCTCGAATATGTATAGATTATATCGAAAAAAATCATTTTAAGGTACAAAAAGGCTTATTTTACCCTGAAAACCAACGGATCTTTGAAAATCTCCAGAGAACGCCAGTGTGATTTGGGCGACTATGAGCTGATACCATAGACAGAGGTGGTTATGGAACTCATCCTCGCAAAAAATGAACGTTCTTGGAGCTTAGGAAAATTTAGCGATCTCATTGCATTGAGCGAAGCTTTTGGAAAGTCACGTTTTTCCAAAAAAGATCAAAATCTTTATTAAGAATGAGGTTCGAGAAAAACCTTTCCCATACTGATTGGAAGCTTAACTTCCGCTGATTCCGAATATGGCCTCAGATTAATGCTGACACCAAACTGAAGTCGAGAAAATGCGGTTTTTCCAAAAAGGTACAAAATAATAGAAGGATTTTTCCGACTAACTTTTTCCCGAAAGGAAAGGACTTCGGATAAAAATTCTTTTGCCGTTAGATAGCCCGTCACTTGAAATATATAGGCCAATCTTCAAATCAAGAAAAATCAAACTTTATTGACCAAATTGCTGCCTAATTGCCCACTGTGTGGGGGGCCCTTTAGTACATGTTTTTAAAAACTATTTTTTAACAAAATCAAAAAATCATCAATATTTCTTACATTTTGTATGATTTTCTGGTTTTTTTAAACAAAAATTCTAAAAGCTCTGTCTCGCTCATCGGACATCTCTAAGGGAAATTGTGAGATCGTGATTTCTTTTCTTCTTTCAGATTCTAGACATGGTTGTTACTAAACTCTTGTCTCTCTTCAAATATCTAACTCTTTTCGTGGTCGCCTTAGCCGTTTGGATTCCATTCTACTACCAATCGACCAACATTAACCATCTTAAATTTCGTGTGATCCACACTCTACTTACTCAAAAATTTTGTTTTTCCCTCAACTCGAATGACACTCGTAACATAAGTCCCGAATACAAGGCATTTGAATATATGCTGAAATCACGACCACTTGCTTCAGTGGATCTGACGGCTGATCCAATTGAACTTGCAAAAGAAATGAGAAAGTCATTTTCATTCTCAGACATTACGCCGAAAGCAAAACAATGTAGCATTGAGGGACAGACGTTTGAATTCGGGGGACATAAGACGGAAGGATTCTGGGTTAACTGGAATGGGAGTACTACGACGGCAGCGGGAAGCAAAGATCAGAAGTTTATACTGTATCTGCATGGTGGCGGGTATATGGTAGGTGATATTGAAGCATATGGAGGATACGAGTGTTATATATCGAAGGGTGGCATTCGGCAAGGATGTTTAGCGAGACATCTGAACGCATAGCCCGCAATAAGAGGCTAGTTGAATTTTAGTGAAAATCTTTGTAGTTGAAATTCTCACTCACCAAAATTGTTGAGTTAACTATATGTCTGTTAGATACCAATCGTCTGATCACAAACATCGTTCTCGTCTCGTCTTTTGACTCATTTGAACATAAGGCCTTAAAGTGATCATTTTGTTCACAGTCACTTTATAATCGTTAAGCATAACCGTATTGAAGTCATATTTTCACTATTTTGATCATTTAATGGGCGTTCTTTTTTGGAAAGCCAAAACTACTCATTTTAAAGACCATAAATACACCGTTTTCTAATCATAAGTAGCTGATCCCTTGTTTCGTTTTTGGTCTAGATCGCTTTAAAGTCGGATTTTGATCGGTTCTTCGCCGAACAATTGCACATCATGCCAGGCTCAAGCTCTAGCCTTAATTTGGCTCTTAGTTTTGAGGAACAGCAAGACAATTTTCATACCCTTATCGCAGATTTTTGTGTTCGTTGCATGGTAAATCGCAGGCGAAATACGGTCCTGATAACCAGCAAATCCATTAACTGTCAGTTAACGGCAAGTTTAGGATAAATTTTCTGGTAGATAAAAAATAGGAGGGAATGGTCGAAAGCGTCATAAAAGCAGTCCTAAAAAATGCTCAGAAAGCTAGTCATTGATTGCCCATTTTTCGTCACCCAATAAACTTACAGATAGACTCCTGCAGGGCAGCCCCAAATTCCACCCGTCTATCCCGTGCCGTGGGACAGGCAGGGTCGGGACAAAAAATATTTATGGGTTTGGGGGCAAGAAAAATATTTCATGGGGTCAATTTAAACAAGGCTAAAGACAATGAAACAAAACTGAACTTACTTTAAAGTGCGCTCTTTCTCCTTATGCAGTTCACAGTTCGTTCACTCAGTGAGCACTGAAAAATCTGACATTCCAAAATTCACCTCAATTTAATCAAAATCTGCTATTGCTCGGCAGGTGAATTTATGAAGAAAGCTTTAAGGGCCGCCCCACCCTCAGAAATGGTGATTTTCGATCAAAAAATCGGTTTTGAGATACGCACATGGAAAGGTAGCCTGAAGTGTCTACTTCCAGAATCTGTATTGCTTTTGGTTACAAAAGTGATTTTTCCGGACTTTTGAGCAAGTTTTCTAAGAGCCTCGAAAAAATGAGTCTTCAAATAATGGTTTTTTCCTGGATACTTATGAAATTAAAATTTTTCTGAAAACACAGCTTTGTAGAGCAAACGTTTCTGATCAAAATAAGACTTCGCACAACTCTGTATGATCCTGCATGGAAAAGTTACAGGCATTTTCCTAGTAGTCATAAAATCGAGTATTTCATACAGCGTTTAATACAGCATTTTCGCTATATAAGAGTTACACCTGAAGTGCGTCCCAAGATTTTTAATAGCGGTTTGTCGTAGAGAGTTCATTCTTTTTTTGTTTAAAAGAGGAAAACAAACTACATCGACTGATCGGCGTCGATTTTTGAATTAGATCTTCGTTTTTTGTCGAACAGAGGATTTTTAGAAAATCCGGAAGGCTTTTTCGGATTTTGCAGGTTGTTGGTTGCCTCTAGTTTAAAATAAAACAAACCCGAACTCTCCAGCTTGAAGTATATTAAAAAGTCTTGGGACGCCGTTCAGGGTCCTTTTTGGACCTTGATCTCTGGAACACTCCTAAACCGTAAGACTTGGAGACAAAAAACAGTTTTCATTCCCGTAACTCATTGTGCTGAACATTTACGAAAAGTTTCGTCAAGATCGGATGTACGGTGCCGGAGATAATTTCTGAGGGGCGTCCCCTTAAGGTAACTTTCGCAGCTGAATCTGGCACAGGTATCATTTCTCATCAAAATAAAAAAAGACCGAGCTAGAAAGGTGCTATTTTGGTGCTAGATTAATTTTGCATTGTGCATCTAATGCTGCTTGATAAAGCTTTTCAATGGCTACACAATACGTATATTCTTCCCTTCTTTTCATCGTTATTTCAGCTTAGAAAGCTTTTCATCGTGTTGAGTATTCTTCATTTCATTTCTCCTTAACTTGTTATAGAAATAAGTTTGATCACGTCTTGTAGAGAATTTGACGGATTTAAACTTGAGAAGGTGTTCCATATCTAAAACTAGGTTTATAGTTCTTTCCTTACTGCAACTTTTAAGTTGAGACCCAAATAAATTAGGCTTAAATTTTGTCATGCGGATTTTTTGCAAAACTGAGTTTGAGACTTTAAGCGTTTCTTGTAATACTTACGGTTTATCATAACAGAAATATTTTTCAAAAAATTACGGGACAGATGGGGCGGGGCAAAAAAACCCATACATTTTTTTCACTGGACAGACCGGTTGGGGACAACATTATTTGCTCACAACCTCGGGCTTACGGGACGGGACAAAAACTTTTATGTTCGGGTTCGAGCTTACGGGCTCGGGGCAACAGAAAAGTTTGTTCCACAGGACTCTTCTTGCAGAAACTGCCAGTAGATGACACTTTTTTTCACGATCTTTTTGATGTATAATAGTCGCTTAATTGCTCGTAAAAAGACAATTAATTAACCATTTATTGTCAGTTTTTGTTGAACTGGGTTCTATGAACTTTTTAAAGAAAAAAACCTCTTTGAAAGTGCAGCTTCAATAGTATGCAATTTGAATGTGATTCAGAGCTAGCCATCATAACTAATCATCCAAATAATTATACAAGGGTAGTGCATTTCTTCTAGTTAGTTTTAACTGACCGATCTTAAGCTCTTTTAAGATCAAAGTCGCTGTAAAGTCTACTGTATTTTTGTTTCTATTGTTTACTTCGACCAGCGGATATGTGGCAAAAGTACGAAGCTGAATTCTGCAAAGAAAATCCCTGGTTCATATATCCGGACAAGCTATACAAAGTTTTTTAGAACCTAGAAATAAGATTAATTAAGAATCAAGTAGATTTTACAAACATATCTGGGATCGACGCGCATGAATCCGTATTTCACACTATCTAGACTGAGTAGTGGTCGTCGAGTATTTTCTGGAGTAATATCTGGCCTTGCTCCAGACCCAAAAAAGAACAGTTTCAGCCAAATTCGAATTCAGGTTCTGAAATTCTTTCAACTGCTTCACGTGTCTGTTTGAGAAAAAAGTTCCTTTCTCTTTTATGAGGTTTTTCATGCAAAAAACTGTTGTAAACTTAAAAAGGCCAAACTTCAAAAAATAGACAAAAGACAATTTTTTTGGCTAGGGAGTCGAGTCTTTGGATTCGAGGGACTCTGAAGTCGGAATTTAAAATTCTACTAGTGGAGCTGAAAATTTTAATCACTACCAGTGGAAAATCAAATGCTGATGCCTGTACATGGGCTGAAGCCTCTATTCTCCATAAACTAGACTTTGAACTACAAGATTGAACTTACAGGCTTCACTAACTGCTAAGAGCATTCGAGGGCATTGCAGGATACTTAGCAGTTCTTGAAGCCTGTAAGTTCAATCTTACACTTCAAAGTCTAGTTTATGGAGAATACATAATTCCGTCCATGCAGGCATCAGCATTTTACTTTCCACTAGTATAGATTAACTATCAAGAAACTGAATTTTAATTTGCACTGTAACATATATAAATGAATTTTGCACAGAAAAATGTGATTTTTCATATTATATGCAGCAAAGGTAGATCAACGAAAAGCCTCAACTGCAAAGCAAATCTCACAGCAAATATGAATGGGTCACGAAATTTTATGTGATGCATTCATTGCACACGCTAACTAAATCCATCTGTCTTAATAAAAAAAACACGTTGAGGGCTTCTAATTGTAAGTCCGCCTAGTCTCAGTTTTTAAACCTGGGCATAGACCCAAGAAGGTTTTTACCATCTTTTCTTTGCGTTGATTTGATTTTTTTAAGCCGACGTCTTTTTTTGCTTAAAACACACTAGAAAAAGCTGCAGAAACATTTGCTTCCAAAAAAAATATGAAAACCCCAAGAAAACATTAAAAATTTCTTTTTCAAAAGTTTGGATCCTATGGGCTTCGTACAAGAGGTCGAACTAATTCTCGCTTCTCTATCAGACATCTTTTGTAAATGTCTGGAAATTAGTTAATTTACCATTACTTCATGTTGAATACCGTCTCGTGCCCGAGCACCCATTGCCAGCTGCTGTTGAGGACGTAATGGCTGTATACAATGCTCTTCTGACGCAAGATTCATCAGTTAATAAGCGTATTATTGGCATGGGTGATTCAGCTGGCGGTGGCTTACTGTTGCTGACATTACAGGCTATTATCAGTAAACATCTGCCGATTCCACTTGCTGCGGTACCCATTTCACCGTGGACAGATCTGTCGTATTCGGGCGATAGTTATACACGCAACAGAGACCTTGATGTTATGGTGAAGTACGATAGCTTTCAATGGGGTGTTGAACTGGTACTAGGCGGCTCAGCTCTAATCAAATCAAAAAATATTCAGCCGAATGACCCAATATATAGTCCACTGTTTGGTTCATTCAAGAAATTCCCCCCGATGTACATCGTCGTTGGAACAGCTGAATTGCTGGAATCAGATGCAAGGAGTGTTTATGAAAAGGCCAAAGCGGAGAAAGTCGAAGTAACATTGGAAGCTGGTGAACACATGATGCACGTCTACCCGATGTTCGGTTTATATTATCCCGAAGCAACACAAGCAATGAACAGAATAAATACGTGGCTTAACGAACAATTTAAATCGTAAACAATTGTAAGTTGCTTCAGTCGAAAGCAACAAAGTTAGATACATTTGCTGGTTACTCAAAAGAACCAAAGAACTGTGCCTGTTGCAAAGCTTTTCCAGCTTTTATTAGTTGTTATAAGCTTTATTGAAAAAGAAAAAAGAAAAAGTTGGAAAAGATCAGTACAGTAATGAGGAGACGGACACATACACATACACATTCATTGTCTAGCACAATTAGATAAAAAACATGTGCACAGAATACATGCGCGCTTGATACATACAATAAGAAAGTGTACGACTAGAAAGAAGAAAATAAGAAGGTAAAAGTATAACAAATAAAAGCAAAATCGGGAAACGGCAAAGAAAAAGAACGAGAACTGAAGAGGACAAGGGTAAATATGGCATATTGGAGGCAGATTAAGAGATTATTTGGGGTTCAAAACCGTTCAGTATTTTTTGTATAGTTAGTAATAAAGAAATGTAGCTGACAGATTTGTGAATTATCTAGATTATCAAATTTTTCTAAAAATAGTACATTTGCAGGCGTAAGGAAGATAGTAGGAGCTAGGGATGACCAGTCAGAAATAAGTGCTTGTCGCTGATGCTGATAACGTGGACATTCCAACAGAAAATGTTGACTGACTCTATTTTTCCACAAGCGCACAAGCGACTAGTACTCAAGTGTTTTTGAAAAAGATCATAATTTAGTCGAGAGAAGTTGACTCTCATTTGATTTGGAATGCAATCATATTTACGCTCACTAAGTTTAAAACGTGGCCACTTGTAGTTTGGAAAAAAGAAATCATAAATTTTTATTCGAAATTTTTTTAATTTTATAATGTTTTGCAGTTCGACAGGCAATATATTCCATTGTCTCATAACCTACGGAAAAAAAGTGTATTTGAATTTTTCTGTGCGAGTACGAAATATGTTTACTTGACCTCTCTCTCTTGAGCGTAAAGATGTAGTAACAATTGGTTGTTTAGGAATACGTGTAGAAAGAAAAGTGGGTGTGAGATCGTTTTTTATTTTGAAGAAAAGAATGATTTTGTTAATTGCATAGATGTGTGCTAACGGAATCCAACCTAGAATTTTGAACACTTTTACTCTTGATGATAAATGCATTGCTCCATTAACAGTCAGAGATGCTAAATATTGCAAGTCATAAATAGATCTTAGATAGGACGGAATTGTATCAATGAAGGCTGTTTTAGAATGAATTTATTTGAGAAGAGAGTAAGCAATGTCAGCATAAGTGACTACTGGCAGAATGTATGATATGAATAACTGATCGAGAGTGGATGTACTCAAAATATATTTATGTCTACGCATAAGGTAAAGAGTGTAATTGCAATTTTTTAATACATAACGAACGTGAACTGACCAGTCTAACGAGCTCGTGAGCAAAACACCGAGATGTTTGTGATGATCAACAAAACTAAGAAGAGAGCTATCAAGGAAAAGAGAAAGGACCATTGCTACTCGACCAAATAATATCCCTACACATTTTTTTGCGTTTAGAGGTAATTGCCAAAATTTTGACCATTTGTTTATGTTTTCTAACAATGGAAGGTCGTGTATTGTAAGTGAAATTGATCGACCATATTCGGGTCAAATGAACACTCTCTCTCAGAAACTAACAAATTTTAAAATATGAGCTGCCCTTGGCTTGCCTGGACAGAGATATTCAATTTTTAAGTTATGCATTATTAGGCTATAGAAACATGATAATATATGAATTAATCACATGGAATTTTTAGTGTAACCATCAGATTTTTCAGACAGCGAGCTTCCGAAATTTTGATGAACTTATTGACAATATTCAGACTTCTTCAGATACGACTTCTTCTGAAGTTTAATAGTACAGAACAGGAGATTTATCTCTAATTATATAGAAACCTGCGTCCTTTGGTTGGTAGAAAATTTCTTCTTTTCCTTGATTGCTGGAAAACTCAAGCTGTTCTAAAAAAATTTAGAGCAGTATTTCCACATCAAGACAGTCAATTATTAATTTTTCCGGAAGGATCAACTGGTCATATTCAACCTCAGGATTTATCTTTATTTCGTTCATGGCGATATTTTCACAAGAAAATTGAGCATTACGTTCATATCAATCGGACAGAAATGAACTTGAACGATCGCCAATATTTTATAAACATGCATTCTATTATTCACAACCAACTATCTGCTCCACAATTCAAAAATCTTATTAAGTCTGGATTCGCACAAGCCAGGATACTCAATGAAACAGTTGGTGAAATCAAGAAACCAGCAGATGTTTGCTTTAAATTCTATGATCTTTATTGCTCAGTTATTCGTTGTGAAGAGCGAACTCTTCTAACTTGCGCTTGGTGCAAAACGTGCTTTCAGGTCCCTCTGCAGTTATTAGGTTTTAATTAGGTGTACAATATAGATCTTGAGTTGTTCCAACGACTGGTATAGTACAAATTAATTATACAGGTTTCTGGAGAAAACTGCTGCTAAAACGTCAAAATCCTGAGCTCAACCCAACTTTTCGATGTATTTTAACCCTTTGGCGACGGGAGACGTATGTATACGTCCGGTCTTCCTTCTAGAGAGAAAATTTTCAATAAAATCTTTTTGTTGGAAAACCCAATGTCGAGTATGCGATTAGACCCAGTTTTGTCTGCTGATCTCCAATATGTTATTAGTTTTGTTTGCAAATATAAGGAAAGTGAAAAGAGCGCAAAATAAGTGAAACGTCACGGCCAAATGCATCTGTGTTCTTTTTATTTTGCAACCTGCTTTTTTTTCTCCACGGGAAAAAAGTACCCTCCGCTCCAGATCTTTCGAAATGAACCCCAGCCCTAGATGCTGAGATATTTACATTGCGCATGCGTAGACAACAAAATGTCCTATGCATTAGAGAAAATAAAAAGAACGACGACCACAATGAAGTGGAGAGTAAGGATCATTCGCTTGTTCTCTCTTTGTTTCACTAGACAAACATAACAGTATGCTGTTTCATTTCATAAAAGCAAAACACTTTTCGACATTATTCTCTTATCAACTAGAACAAATACACTTTCCCTATCACTTTTACTCTCATTACCTTTACTCACAACGAAGACAGTGTTACAATTCTTCCACTGATATATTCCATTTACAACAAAATACACAAACCGTCCTCGGCAAGAGTTTTACCCCAACTGAATAAATGTCTGCAAACCGGAAGTATGTACGATTCTTCACTATGACATCATTTCTTATTTCCAACAAAGCAAAAGGGCAGAGACTAACGGTTATGTAATACAGTCCTAAACACTACAATATCACACTCATCTCACTTCTTCTACACTTCACTTCTAAAATACTTCAACGACAACACATGAACTCTAAGACTAAAGCGACAATCTCATCCTCGTCCTCCACTTCTCACAAATACTCGTTGACCAACGAAAAGCATGACGCAAAGTCACCATGTCCTCCATCAGCAGTAACAAAAATATCCAAAACATCACCAGCTTCTTACACAAAAATCAATGAAAATGCACAACTCGCATCAGAAGCTTCTTCTACTTCGCTTCAACCATCGACGACTGCTGTTAATGAGAGAACACTAAATGAAGAAAACAAAGAGAGTGTTACATTGATCTGGCTTGATCCAAACATGGGTACAGACGATGACACACAACGCACTAAGGTAGTGCTAAGAGAAATCAACGACTTCGCTGTTTTCCACATGCACTTAGGTTCATGTATTGACCACATCACAAATGTTCAAAATGAGAGAATATTTCTTGTCACATCGGGCAAATGTGCCATCGATCTGTTGCCTCATATCGAGACTCAGCCTCAAATCGACTCCATATTTATCTTTTGTCTCAAACCAAACAGGTACAAACATCTCCAAAATGAGTACTCGAAAATAATCGGAATATTCAGTGAACATGAAGAACTCGTCAAGTCGATCAAAAGCAATATCGATGTGGTTGAGAAACAAATCCAATCATTCAACTTTTATAATCAACAAAAGTCGACTCGTGATTTAACTCGCGAATCTGCATCTTTTCTGTGGTTTCAACTATTCAAAGATTTAATTATCCAAATGCCTCCTGATAATCATGGGAAACGGCAGATGATTGAAAAGTGTCACGAATATTATCGTGGAAACAGAAAAGAAGTGGAAACCATTCAAGAATTCAACGACACCTACCAAAGAGCTGACGCTGTTCGATGGTATACACGACACTCGTTTGTTTATAAACTCATCAACAAAGCTCTACGCACAGAAGACATCGAACAACTGCACATATTTCGCTTTTTCATTGCCGATCTGTGCTCAAGTCTTGCACAAGAGTATAAGAAGATGAGAGAACGCGAGAAAGGTGTACTTCAAGTCTATCGTGGCGTGAAACTGTCGAAAGAAGAAGTTGAAAAGTTGGAAGAGAATGAAGGTAAACTCATTTCGACAAATGGTTTTCTGTCCACAAGTCGTTTGTCCTCAGTGGCTCTGAATTTCGCATCTCAATCGACGAAGCGTCGAGACGCTGTTACTGTTCTCTTTGAGATTGAGTATGATTTGAGTGAGTTGAGTGATGATGCTATTGTGTGTGCTGACATAGCTGAGTTCAGCGATTATCCAGAAGAGCAAGAAGTCCTGTTTGATCTAGGCGCAACATTCAAAATTCAGTTGGTTGACCGTGAAAAGCCAGATGTCTGTCGTGTAAATCTGAGCGTAACAAGCGAAGGAGCAGATATAGCACGAGAATATATCAAGTTGAATAGAAAAGAGCTAGAAGAAACAAGCATTCCCGTTATGTTTGGTTCACTTCTGTGTGACATGGGACACTATGACAAATCAATGAAGTACTTCGAGAATCTATTTGAAAATCCTGAAGGAGAAATTCTAAGTGACATTGAGTTTAATATTGGCCGTGCTCACCATTTCAGAGGCGAGTACGACAAAGCACTGCAGCTATACGAGCATAGCTATACAACCACGATGATGTGCAAGCCACTCCGTGAGAAAGCATTAGCTAGAACACTCTATAGTATTGGCAATGTTTATGCGAGCAAAGGCGAGTATGATCGTGCTTTGGACTATTATTCAAAATGTCTCAAGATTCAAGAAAAATGTTTGCCATCTGATCATCCACATATTGCTAGTAGTCTGGGTAGTATTGGCCTGGTTTATTACAGGAAAGGCGAGTATGATCGTGCTTTGGACTATTATTCAAAATGTCTCAAGATTCAGGAAAAATGTTTGCCATCTGATCATCCAGATATTGCTACTAGTCTGAATAATATTGGCCTGATTTATGACAACAAAGGCGAGTATGATCGTGCTTTGGACTATTATTCAAAATGTCTCGAGATTCAAGAAAAATGTTTGCCATCTGATCATCCAGATAGTGCTCGTAGTCTGAATAATATTGGCCGCATTTATCACAGCAGAGGCGAGTATGATCGTGCTTTGGACTATTATTCACAATGTCTCGAGATTCAAGAAAAATGTTTGCCATCTGATCATCCAGATATTGCTACTAGTCTGAATAATATTGGCCTGGTTTATGACAACAAAGGCGAGTATGATCGTGCTTTGGACTATTATTCACAATGTCTCGAGATTCAAGAAAAATGTTTGCCATCTGATCATCCAGATATTGCTCGTAGTCTGAATAATATTGGCCGCATTTATCACAGCAGAGGCGAGTATGATCGTGCTTTGGACTATTATTCAAAATGTCTCAAGATGAGCGAAAAATGTTTGCCATCTGATCATTCAGATATTGCTCGTAGTCTGAATAATATTGGCAATGTTTATGCGAGCAAAGGCGAGTATAATCGTGCGGTGGAGTTCTTTGAGAGATGTTTGAAGAGTCGTGAAAAGCTGCTTCCGTCAAGACATCCTGACCGTGTCAAGGTTGAGAAGAGGCTGTCCGAAATAAAGAAACTACAGGCGGGTGGTTGTGTATGCATGTGACGGCTGAGTACTTGTTTAGTTGTTTATATGTTAATTTTTTGCTATATGCTTATATGGTTTCAGACTTGCTTTTACTGCGAAGAAACTTGAATCTTCGCTTTTTCTCTGAAGCCATTTTTATATAGAGGGTTTTCTCCTTGTCTTACCAAAGAGGAGTAGTTTGTTCTCAGGTATTTGTTGTCTAAGTTCACTTCGAGTTTGGAGGCCGACAAATTTTAACTCTGAAACGCTTGGAATCAATGTTATTTAGGATGCTCGATCGGTAAAAGGGATTTGCGAGTAGTTACTTTTGATCAGGAATGATTTGGTTGAGAAATTGCTGAGTGCTGAACCCTGAGAACGAGCGTTTTATGCGCATTAGACTTGTCAAACACGTCACACAATGCAGTTTTTTTACATAAGTTACCAATCTGAGCTTTGCTTTGAAGGCGGAAGCTCTTAAAAGCGAAAGAACGATGAGGTAAGTTATATATCTCTGGATATTGAATTAGTGAAACACGGGTGCGTATAGCATCCAACTCTATAACTCAATTTAGATTAAAGCGTGGAACATTATAACAATCTATCATATGGTGAAGCCACACTCATAATTGAAAACCACCCCTTAATAATAGATCATCCCCTAGTAACAGATCAACCTAAGATTTGCGAGTTGCCAGCCGAATTAGAGGACCATGTTCTTTTATTTCTGCTGTGTTTTTCGAATAGAAATAATCATACATTTCGAATCAAGAGCAAGGGCGTCACGGCCAAATGCATCTGCGTTTTTTTCATTTTGCAACCTGCATTTTTTTCTTCAAAAAGCACCATCCCCCCCCACCTCTCTAGATCTTACCTTACTCATGTTCCTTTTCTCTCTTCTCGCCACTTTCTATTCAGTCGTCTCTGAGCGAGTCAATGTACCTTTCCCATTTTGTTAGAAGACTGAACATTTTTTCTCTCCCGAGTAGTGTGGCGATCATGAGTCTCATTTAAGCATTTCATACAGTCAAGATCTTTGTTACTGTGTCAGTCAAACAGGCTGACTGTGTAGATCTGAGAATGGAAATGATTTTGACACAGTGAGATTTTACGCATTTTTATTTTGAAAATAAATTGCAGTCTTATGTCGAAGTCAGTCACGGAGGAGAGACTCACAGGTGAAAGTCGTGAAGTGTGTATGGCCACACGTGAATTTCTCATGTTAAAATTTTCGTAAAAAATATTACTTGCGGACACGCGTGAAAATGATTCCCACTAATTTCATTGTGAAAAATATCTTCAGATTTATTCGCACGTCAGTGTTTCACGCAACTCATTTCGTGAATAATATTCACGCTTAACCGCAAACGAAAAAATTCTTACGTTTCACGCACGTCCACGTGTGAAACCCTTTACAGATGTGAAATGTCGTGAAGATTGAGCGGCAATCATAAATACAAATTTCTCCTATATCTTTCGAAAGTTGTACATACATACAGATGAAAACCTTTGTTGTAGACCGAAGGTATTTTCTGTAGAAATATGCCTGGGAATCATCTTGTTCCCCGGAAGGAAG